AAACAAAAGAACAAAAAACCAAGTTCCAGCTTTGCATCAGTGCACTGGTGGACGTAATATGTATACATTTTTTAAAAAGTTCAGCAGCAAAGTAAATTGCTCAGGAGAAGAAAAATAGCAATTCAAAAAAAAAAAGGTTCTGCTGGGTTTCAAACCAGTGACCTTCTTCCTGTCAAGCAAACGTTATAACCATGATGTGATTGGAACACCATTGCTGCCAGGAGCTGCAGCCAAGATTAGAAAACCTCAGGGCAGGAACTATGGAGCCAAGTAAGGGGATGTTTCTGCTACTACACACCTGGCCAATCAAAGTGCAGAGAGCTACCTAGAAGAAAGTAAAGCACAACAAGCAAACTCAAATTTTTATCAGCATAATCTGGAAAATACTACTTTCAACACAGAGCAGGAAAACAGACAGAGGTCTCATTTGTGGTGGGTCCTCCCAAAATGCTTGGTGGCCTCTATACATGCCCTTAGATAATATATATTTTAATACTAATCATCTGTCATTTTACAGGGTCGCTCTCTCTGATACCTGCCCTCCATATCACTTTACATGTATTATTATGTAACATTCACTCAAGTGGTCAGTCCTATTCTGTTTTCTCAGAGGGTATATTTCTGTAGTCAACAAATGTATCTTGATTAGACATGAACTGAAATCTCATGAACCCAAACACTGAAGCACTAAGCTGCTGTTAACAATAGTAGAGTAAATGAACAAATGCATGAACTGGTATATAATAATATTGTTTCAAAATGCTTCCTTTAATAGGTTGGAACCAGGTTTAGTTATACTTTTTGCTAGCTTTGTGCCATTGTGTTGAGTTCAACTCTTGATAGTTGCATGGACAAATGTTCACCCCCTTGATATGTCCATGGTAGTAACTTGAAGTTTTTCCAAGGACATTCCAGTAATCTCTTTGATCCCATCTATCCACCTCATCTCTTGTCTTCTTCTTCTCCTTTCTGCAACATTGCCAATCATTTTTCTATGATTAGGACAAACTAATTTGTGTGTTGAATTATTTATTTACAGGGCCTATAGGTTGCTCCAATCCACTGGCTCTGAGCGATATACAATTCCCTAATACACTTTTGGATTAAAATTAAAACAAACAATATGAAATTAAAACACCATAGAATCAACATGGTTTAAGTTGGCTATAATTTACTTCTTCCAACAATTTTAGTGTTAGAACTGGTTCAAGGATTAAATGTATCCTAAAGGTGAATAACAAGGTATCTTCCCCACCCCACAGTTCATATTTAAAAGCCACTCTTCCAGTAGGATAGGGTTCTCTACCATACATGAGGGTAGTAGCCCCATAGCATATAGTCTAGGGTAGCTCATTTCTCCGAAACCTTAGCACAGTGTTCTTTTCTGACAATAACTGTTGCCTGAAGGCTTGGAAAGTTGTTCTAGACTATACCTAAGATTTTAAACAGACATTTTTGTCAGTATCCAAAGAAATCCCACAGCTTCTAATTCCATGCCATCAACTATTTACTTCAGTGCCTATGTGGGGGAAGCATGTCTATGCTATATGGGGACATCCTGTGCATTTGGATACAATCAATGCCTATTATTATTATTACTATTACTATTACTATTACTTTTCCTCCTCCTTCTCCTCCTCCTTCCAACATTTACATTGTGCATCACACAATTCACTTAAGAGCCAACCATTCCAAAGAAAGAATGTGATCCCTGAAATAATAATAATTAAAAAAAATAGTTAGATGGCCATCTTCTTGAAATTGAATAGTCTTATGACTTCAACAGAATACTTTACAAATGGCTTTCAGAGATGAGTTGCACAGCTGAGCCCACTAAAACTGGTTTCCTTTTCTTGAATCTTCTAGCACCAATAATGTACTTGTGGCTCCTCAGTGGCAACTGAAGCTAGATCCACAGTGACAAGAACCATTACATAGTTAAAATCCTCCTTTATGAAAATATTTAGGATCTTCTGCTTCTTTTGCAACTTGGAGTAAATTCAAATTTTACAGCAGAAAGTTAAAAGAGATAGCACAAGAGCAAGTTTTAGTACAGTTAGGACTACTCAACATGAAAGCTTACTAAGGAATACTTAATACTAAAAATCACACAGACAGTCCCCTTGTATTGCCATTTAGATCTATCATTCTGATTGATCACTGTGTGTTTCACTATTATTGAGCCTAATTTAACCCTATATATTCACACATCCATCCATTCCATGTATTGCACCTGACATTCTACAAATTACTTACTCATGCAAATGATGACCTAAGTCAACCCTTTATGATATTCGTGTTTAATTATACAAATGGTCTTTGATAAATAAGATTATACATCCTCCCATATGTTTATTCTCTCCTTGATGAAAGTAAAATTTAATTTTCATGCAGATTTGTTGCCGGTCTTGTTTAATAACTGCTGAGTTTCATATAGTGTGCAGATCACCCTGGTTTTTTGAAGTGGACAAAACGAAGCCATTCCTAAAGAAGAGCTTGGAATCAGACACAATTTTAGCTATTACACCTTGGAATCTTGGAATCCTAGAACTGAAGCCCCCTTCCTATGTGCATTGATTAAGATAATAACATAAAATACCTGCAAAAGCCAAGTGAATAAAGATTGTATGTTAAGCAATATGATTGTTGCTTTATTATCAGTTTAATAATATTAACATATTACATGTTCAGTATCATCAGCTGAATATGAATAAACAGAATACTAAGGATAGGCTGGATATATGGATTTGCTAAAATACACAAATATTCACAAGGCTTTTAACCACAGATTATTTATATTTAAATATTAATAGCCTGGGTAACTCTGATTCATGGGTACACTGCGTCCTTAACATTTCACATACAAGTCAACTTCAGCTCTCTTATGATCTCCACTGATGATATTTTTTACTACTCTAGGCACTCAAGACTGAGCATGTTGTGCTACTAAAGGCATCTGTGGAGAAGCGGAGGGTTGTGACTTGAGCTGACTGACCTCATGCAAATGATTTGGAATGCTAGAAGGTTTACTGCACTTCTGTGTTATAACCTTTCCATGCTACTCAATGTAGCATTAAATAATTCAGCAGTAAGTTGAATGAACACTGAATGAACAAGAGAGATTGCTGGACTTGATGACTGTGAGAGTTGTTAAGCAATGGAACAGTCTGCCTTCTGAAGTTGTGGGTGCTCCATCACTGGAGGATTTCAAGAAAAGACTGAACAGCCATTTGTCCAGAATGGTAGGAGGATTCCTGCACTGAACAGGGGGTTGGACTAGATGACTCCAAGATCCCTTCTAACCCTAAAAATCTATGATTCTATGATACTATCAAGCACATTGTGGTACCATTTATTCAGATGGCATGTCAGTCCTGAAAGTTAGAGAAGCCAGTTCATCATCTGAGATCTTAATGAAATGATATGTATGATGATCCTTTGAAATTGTAGAATCCTTAAATAAACTCACTTTTGTTCCCCATGCATTTGCAAGCAATTAATCCATCTAGTGTTCTGCTGCTTTACAAGTTTATTTACTTACTTTGCTAGTCCATTGGCTACCAAACCAATGGGTTTACAATGAAAACATGAAATCAGAGTTATCAATGCCATTAACATTTACATATAAATCTTGGGGGGGGGGGGTTAAAGACAGGTTCGGGTGGTCTTTTAATACAATCTGCAGAGATCAAGCTTCTTTTTTCAAGAAAATTCTAGGGACCCAGATCAGCTAAAGAAAAGGCATGACCTGGTCCCGTTGGAATATCCGTCCAAACCCACTGTAGACAAATGTCTTCAGATAATCTCAGTGAATGAGGGGCCAGAGGGATAGCTAGTCATATTAGGCATGTAGTAGCCAGCATTTGTCTTTCATCCAGAAATTGACCTTTAATAACATCTCTTGACTCTGTTTACTACCTACTTATCTACATAAATATATATATACACTTTAGGTTTAAAATATTGTATCCTACTTGTGTGCCTGTTGTTAAAATGTGAAAAATTAAGGTATGATTTCATTTTAAGTGAAGCAAGGATAATCATTTCAGTTTGTGATAATACAGCATGTCCATTTTCAAGGATGTAGACAAGTTTCTCTGAATCATACAAACATGACAAATAATCAAATAACGTAAGTATTAGTACTTTTATTAGTATGGTAGAAACCATCATTGCCAAAGTCCATTTTGTCAAAAGCATAATGCATTACCTTCAGTTACAGGAATATATGTGTGTAGTCTATTACAAAAATTACTTTGTGGTGGTTTATGAGATTAGAAGAAAATAAAAACAAGTACCAATTGTGAAAATTCATTTGTAGCTTAAATGTATGAAAGCTTAATTACTTATTTTGTTTTCTTTCCGCTTCTGCGCTTACAAGTCCCTCAAATAACCAGTCCTAGGTCAGGCTTCATAGCTGATTAACAGCACTTTGAAACACATCCAGCAGCAAACTGGCACTCAGTGCAACTCATGAAGTGGAGGTGTTACATGGAAGACCGAGGCTTGCCTATCACTGCCTGCACCACTGTATTCTGGACCAGCTGAAGTTTCTGGGTGGTTTTCAAGGGCAGTCCCATAGACAGTGCATTGCAATACTTGAGCTGTGAGGTGATTAGGAAATGAGTGACTGTCTGAAGGGTCTCCTGATCCAGGAAGAGATGCAACTGGTGCACCAGATGGAGCTGTGGAAAAGCCCTCTTGGCCACAGCTGCCACCTGAAATTACATTTCAAAGCAAGGTAATTCTCTCATTCTAGCCACCTTGAGAGCTCATCAGAGATGAAAAGTGAGGTATAAATCAAATAAATAAATAAATATGACAAATGTGGATGCAGTCCACAAAAGCATTTGCCAAATTCAGTTTGTTCTGAAAGTGACATAGCATTCCCTGTTGTTTTTTATTTTAACAACAGTTAAATAAACAAAAACAGAAATGATAATGTGGATTTTTTCCCCTGAGGATGTTTTATGACTGTTCTGAACTGTTACGTTTTTCAGATTTGGTCAGTTAATTCTGCCGGCCGAACTGCTAGCAGCTGGACAAAATGTAAGACAGGCCCAGCCCCTCCTCAGGGACTTCCTGCCCCTTTGTTTGAAACAGTAGCTTCTACTTCTGCTGTTGTGAACATCCATCCTCCTCTGAAGCCAAATGGAATAATCACTCTTTACAGGTTCTTCTCCAATAACACCAAAGGAAGGGAGAAAGTGGTCAGTATTAATCAAACTCTTTGAGTTGATGAAATTGGTGGTGGTGGTTGTTACTATTAGTATTACAGAATTGTATTTAATATTCCTCCTGCCTGCATAGAATAAAGGCATTGCATGTATCAATCTAGATCTTTGTTACTGATGTGAAACTAGAAAATAAGTAAAATCAATCCTTCCCCAAAAAGAGGATGGCCGCGGGAAGGAAGGATTGTAGGATTTGTCAAAATATCAGCACATAGTTTTGGGGATGAAAAAAGTGGAAGTACTATTGATTACCAACCATGTCCATCAGTTTGAGTATTAATACTCAGGGCCTGGTGTAGCCACTGCTTCTTCTGAGGGAGTTGCATGCCTTTTCTTGGTGTAAAACTATCTAGGATTGGCTCAGCTTCTACTTTTTTGGTGGTAATTAACACTTTTTGGGGGTAGAAGCCTTCAAGTGAGTGGGCTATATCATACGTGGGCAAGAAAGGGTTGGGGCGGGGCTTGAAAGCTTTTCTTTGTTTCAACCATGATAATCTCTATTTTAGGGCTTGTGTAACAATTTTCCTTAGTCATCTTCAAAATGGCAGGGAACTGCTATCGATTTCCACCAGGCATGGCCAGAGAGGTTTCTCACGGTTGTAAAAGAGGGACTTCTGGATTGTCTGTTGTTTAGAATCACAGCTTGTCCTTCTACAGTACTGCTGATCTAGGATGATATAAACCATCAAGTCTTTTGGTGCAGATGCTGTAGTTGCCAATTACCTTTCCACAGAGTTCCCTGCAAGCAGGCAATTGCCAAGAGCTTACAGACATTCTGACATGAATCCTTCAGTAATAAAAATAGACAGCCACCTGGTGTTGTGGTTAGGGTGCTGGACTAGCACTCAGGAGACTGTGAGTTCTCATCTTCTGCTCGGCAGTAAAGCCAGCTGGGTGAACTTGGACCAGTCACCCTCTTTCAGCCCAGCCCACTTCATAAGGTTGTTACTGTTGTTGGGAAAATAGGAGAGGGAACATCAAGTACACCTCCTTGAGTTGTAAAAAATAAAGGCAGGTTGATTAATAAAAACAAATAAATAAAATCAAACAAATAGTTCATCCAGCTGAACGTTGTACAGTTCATAGGCTCCTTGCATGTCAGTGTCTATTCCTGCTCTTGTTCTGTCCTTTTCAGCTCTCAGAAGGAACAACCCCTCAGCAAACAATCCATGGACTTAAACCTTTTACCACTTATTCTATTGGGGTTGAGGCTTGCACGTGCTTCAACTGCTGCAGCCAGGGACCAATGGCACAAGTTACCACCCAGCCAGCTCCACCCACCCAGCAGCCTTCTCCCCATGTACGGAGCCTGACCTCAAGGAATGCTTCTGTTCTGTGGGGTGCTCCTCGGGAACCCAATGGCATTGTGAGAAGGTAACTGCTCACATCTAATCAGTTAAAATCTATGGTGGGGACCTAGCTATTGCTTTGGTAATGCTCACTATCCTCTCTCTCACTTCTCTCTTATTTCTGTGCCTTTCCTTCTCTCCCTCCCTTCCTTCACCAAGAGAGGGTGTGTGTGTGGGTAACCCCTTCTCAGCACTTTACTCACATATTTTATGAAATAGGTTTTGATGTACAAAAGCTAACCTGATAATATATATGCTAATCTTGACAGTACAACAAAAAGAATGTGTACATCAGTTTGTTCAAAAAGAGAATCCCCTGTGAGGAAAGGGGATGACTGGATTAAGTTCCTGAACCCAACACTAACTAGCTAATTAGTTTTCAGCCTTTCATCAGGTTATTTACAGATAGCCATGTTTATTGAATTGGGATCATTTTTCCAATATATAGCTATATGGCAGAATAACAGTAGCTTGCTGCTATTTATATATAACTTGATCAGTGAGCATACAGCTTAGTAAATTCTTGCCTTCATGACAATCACATCATAATTGTAAAACGGATTTTCAAAGGCAAATTATGAATTAAAACCAGTGCCTTAAAAGTATACAAATTAAATGATCTCTTATTTTTACATCCATAATTTGGGGAAAAACATTAAGCAGAATCTAAGTGTCTAAAATGTATTTATATCTAGAGTTTTGAAATATAGTATGATGAATAACAATTTGATATGGATTCTGAAAATACAACTGTGATACCTAGGCAATGGGAATTGTCTTTATTCATCCCTAATTATTGAAAACATTACTCCAGTGCTCCACTGAAATAATGACATACCATTTTCCTGTAAAAAATCAGGTACAGGCACATAAGTAGAATGAATGGGATATATAGAATTCTAAAGTAATTAAGTTGGATGCCAATCTTTCAGTTTAACCAACAGCTTGGTATTGGGAAAGATAAACTCAGATTTACCAGAAGGGATTGGGTTCATATATTGTGATAACTTATGGTTTGCTTAACTATGATTTGCTGAGTAAGCTACAATTAGCTGAGTTCTCTCTGTGTCTCTCTCTGTCTCTCTGTCTCTCTCACACACACACATATAGTCTCTCTCTCTCTCTCTCTCTCTCTCTGTGTGTGTGTGTGTCTGTGTGTGTGTGTGTGTATATAATTAGCTGTGGCTTACAAACCACAGTGAATGGATTACTCATCAACTAAGCCAGAAA